TCTCTCTCTCTCTCTCTCTCTCTCTCTATATATATATATATATACAGCAAATGGTGTAGTGGTTATGTCATTGGACTCCCATGTAGTCCACCGTGGTTCGAGTCCTGGACCCAGCAGCTTAAAATTCATGCCAGGTACGTGTGCCTGCATACCCAAAATCCCAAGAGGAGTTGCAGGAGAAGGGATTGTAGCATGGCCAACCCCCTGGGGAGTTATTTCTCACTTTCTGTCTCTCTGTCTCTCCGGCGAGTGCACATGCCCTGTAGCAAAAATCCCTTTCTCTCAAAAAAAAAAATATATATATATATTATACCTAACAGAGAACATTATAAATTAATGATATATCTGATATTTCTGAATATACACAGTAATTTATAAAGGCATAAATTCTCTCACAAATATATTATAAATTCCATATGATTCTAAAGAAATAGTACGTAAAGTTATTTGATGGAGAGAGGAATAAGGCAAAGTTCTAAAGTGAATGTGAAGAACTATAGTGTAGGCAGAATAAGCAGGAAGTGGTGAAAAAAGTATTATGAGACATGAATTGCACTGTCAGATATTAACATGTATAAAACGATGATAACTAAAATAATATGGTACAAACATAAAGTTAATCAGAGAGATAATTAGGACAGTAAAATAATGGAAGATTTTATTTAGGGCCATTGTGATAGGTATAGAGACCACTGAAAAGGGGTCTTACAGGAAGGGAGAGAGAGTGTAAGTAGTAGAAGGCTCAGTTGGTAGAAAAGTATAAAAAAAAATCAGGGGGTAAAGAGGATTCTGGTTAAACAGATCTAACAGGATTCTTAAGGAAGGCAGATCAGTGTGATCAGAGATCAGTTGGGGGATGGTGGAGGATGAGGAATTTGATCAGATATCAAGGATGGGGGGTTCTGACTAACTAAACTAACTTAGCAGAATTCTTTTGCTGAAGCTAGATTTTACAAGGAGGTGGACAGATGGGCCTGGGAGAAGCTTCAGAAGACAAGTTTTGGCCAAGCAAGGAATCTTTGGCAGTGCCCGTCTCATAAGGAAAGAAAACATTCGTTTTTCCTTTGAACACTGTAAGTCCAATTTCTCATTTGGTTACCTTCCGTTCATTAAGGACCAGCTGAATCACCTGTTTAGACTTAGTAGTAGAGATTATCTCTTGGATAGTATGAGCCATAGGCCTTTGATAAGGGGAGTGTTTTTTTTTTTTTTAATTAAAAAAAGATAAAAAAAAGATAGGAAGAAAGAAAGAAAAATGAAAGACAAAGATTAATAACAGAAACTGTAAACTCAGGTTCTGATCCAAAGGTAAAGCTGTCAAGAAGCTATTGATAGTGATTGAATGTTTAAAAAAATAATAATCTGGAAAAAAATGAGAAGCTATTGGATGATGATGATGGGGATTTTAATGTCTTTGTATTGACTGATATGAATGGTAATACACTGTATAGTTATATGTGATTCAATGTAATATAAACAAAATTATGCTAATAAAAAAATATAGGATTGAAGTTAAAAAAAAGAAGCTATTGAGAAGCTATTGCGATACTGAGATTGAAGCATCTTCAGTTGTAGTGAGGACAGGCAACAGGGCATATTTTCCTGGTTGCTGTTCAGATATCATGAAGGTTATCTATAAATGAGCTGTCGTGATTTCTCTAAAGTTTATATCAGGTTGTTTAGCTTCTGGAAACCAGTAGTTTTTATAGTGATTTCAAGTCAGAAAGATGGAAGAAAATTTGAAATATTAGTTTGGAGAATTATAGCCAGATATTGGGGGAAACTAGGATTCCAATATCCAGTCCAGATTCCAAGTTAATAATAAAACCTCGAAGGAAAAAACAGGGGGAGGGAGGTAAGACTATTGAGTGGACTATACTTTTCTTCTGAAACACAGTATTTCTCTCTAAAGTCACTTCCATTTCTATCAAAGCTAATACAAATAAAGCTGACATTTTTTTTTTAGCAAAATAAGTTTAATCTCATTACACTCAGCTTGATTATTTACATAAATGTAGCAATAAAGTATTTGAAAATATTTTCTCCTATTCTGTGGGCTGTCCATTTATTTATTTATTTGTCAGTTACCTTTAAACTGCAGAGTTTTCTTTGTTTTTTTCTTGAGAAAGATTTTTGCTATAGGGTGCATGCACTTGCTGGAGAGACAGAGAGACAGAGAGAGAGAAATCAACCCCCAGGGGAGATAGCCATGCTATAATCTCTTCTCCATTCTCCTCTTGGGATTTTGGGCATGCAAGCACACACACCCGGCGTGAGTTTTAAGCTGTTGGGTCTGGAACTCAAACTACACTTAACTACATGGGAGTCCAGCAATGTAACCATTATACCATCTGCTGGTTCCTAAACTGCAGTTTTTAAAGGTAACTGACAATTCATCAACTATCATAAACCCCAAAAGGTCCTATGTTCCCTCATAACACAAACTAACTCTTGGTACCCACTCCAAACAATCTCTGATCTGTTTTGAAATCTGCTTCCTTAAAGTTTGATTATGTGATATTTAGCATGAGTAATTCTATTTTGGTTTGTTGGGCCTTGTGCAGGACTGTCCAAACAATGGTCAAAACATAATTTATGTTTAACACAACAGTTATGTAAAGCTATCCACAGGAATACTCAGAGGAGAAAGATGGGCAAGAACATAATTAAATAGAGTCATAAGTATATTTCTTAT